CAGTATTGGTATCTTAATTTTTAAGCCATGATTTGGTCACTATTTCCGTAATTTTAGTCATTAAAGTCACTACTATTACATCGCATCGCTGTAATAGTATAAGCAAGGTCATTCAGTTGAAATTATAGACTAGAAATACAAGATATAACATTTAACTACCAACTAAGTTAAATGCGTGTTCGATGAACAACACGCAAGAGTTATGTCTGTTTGTCTGTGATTTAATTTGTTACCCTTCAAAATGAAACAGAAATGAAAAAAAAAAACCGAATGCGTTAAACAACGAACAGAACGTAAAACAAAAAAGAGAACCGATATCAACCAATGTGCTGGAGTGTATTATTTATTGATTTGTTTATCTATCATTTTTTATTGTTATGGTGATGTATGTCGTCGTGTTAGTTGCGTGGGCATCATATGCTCTGCGTTTGCTACGATTAAATGTAAGAAAGAAAAATTTGGTACATTCAACTTTCGATTTCTCGATGTTCTAATATCGATATTTCTCCCTATATCAATGATTTGGGCAGTCCCTTCATCAAGATCTCTATATCTCGATATACTCTCTGTGTCGATGGTCCTTTGAAAATATTCGGGAACAAATTACTCTCCATATGCCGAAGAAAAAAAATCTAGTTCACTAGTTTTTCCCATGTTTGAAGTAAGCAATCGAATTTTGCTTTGGATACGGGATAAACAAATAAACTTTTTGAACCCGATGTGCTTCTAGAATCGTTCTAGAAGGGTAATAAATTATGGTTTTGAATGTCGATCTCTTCCTATATCGTCCCTTGAAAATCGAAAGATGACTGAACATTTTAAACGTGCAACTACGTCAATTCCTTAAAATTAGGATTGAGTAGGTAAATACCTACGTGTCAAAAATTCGTTCATTTTTCAGTTTGTTAGTGGAACTTCAGGGTTGTTACAACTGGTGTAGATTTTGCACGTTTCTGTAGCTCTGTGGCGCGGATTTAGCGAATAGCTTTTAAAAAACTCCTAAACTTTGGAAAATTATGGGGTTATCGGAACTTCAGAAACCCAGAATCCCGACCCGAGGAACTTACAGATATGCGTCATTCTTGGGACTATTTATGGTGTATATAATCTTCAGAGATTTCTGCACCAAAGCTTCAGAAACCCCACTGTGGCAGAAAGAGTTGAGTTTGAAATGATAATTAGTACCGTAAAACGGGGTATCTTTGATAATGGGGGGTAACTTTGATAGTATAATGTAAAGATTAAATTTACTCGCTGCGCTTTTTCGAAATTAGAAACATTGATTCCATATTGTAGTTTAGGGTATTTCCGTTGATATCGTATATAGTTTTTATATGGTATGTGTTATATATTTTACAAACATATTAAAAAACAATTTTCGTGTTTTTCGTCTGTTTGAAAAAAGCACTCAAACCATCACTTATGAAATGTATTTCCGATATAGCCATCGCAAATTCATTGTTGTATTCTTATTGCTTATGATGTTTTTTGATTATATACTCATTCAACGTTTCACCCATTTTTCTCTACATTCATCGAGCATTATCAAAGTAACCCCAAATCAAAAACTGAAGTTCGGTCACAAAACTAAAAAAATAGTGCAAATGCTTTAATTTGCGTTAAACATATTACTAACGAACTGACTTTTAGATCCTCAGTACATGTTTTAAAAATATGAAATTTGAAAAACATTCATTGCTGTAAACATTATTAAGAATATACTTTAAAAAACTATCAATGTTACCCCATTTTACGGTATTTCAAACTACACTCTGTCTACCATAACCATAACTTCTGAAACTGCTGAGACTTTATGAATTTGAAACATTAAATACCTATACAACAATTTCCAAAATCCTTCCAAAATATTCCCTGATCTCTGATTTTAAAGTTTTGTTACCTTCGATGGTTCCATAGGTTAGGAAGTTATGATGCTCTGGCGACCCCGGCATAGTGTTTAGCATCCATACCTCTCACGCCAAAGTCACGAGTTCAAATATCACTCCCGGACAAGTCACAAATGATTCAATAGCGTTAAATATAAATAAATAAAATAAATTAAGCACGGCCGTGAGTTCCACAAGCTGGTCTTCCGGAACATCCGTCAAAACAATCAAATTTTGAAGCAGACCCTACAGCTCCAAGATCGGAAACCCAAATTAGAATTGATTTAGGATTGTGATATGAACATATAATAAATAGAAGCTCCAGATTAACATTAACAGTCGTCACGGCCCCTAATATTTTTAAACACTTGTAGTTGTGAAAGGTGTGGAGTTGGCAGTGGATTAATTCTGTAGAACACCTGCAATATCCGTTAGGGCATGACAGCTTTGAATTCTTTCTATTTCCTCAACTTCAAGAATTAAACAAATGTGGCGCTCTAGTACGGTTTTGATGGTAAAATACCGAAATTGCAAGAATTTCAAAAGTTTTGTTTTCTTGTAAAATTTTGAAATTTTCAAATTCAGAATATGGTTTGAGATTCTACTGCTACCTTCTAAGAACTGAATTTTTTTTGAAATCTCTGGTTTAGAACAAATTTTAGGACCCAAGACCAACATTTCAAAATTATGTTCTGTTCCAAGAAACATTTAAACATCCCAGTTAGAGTTACGTTAACGATTTGGCACTTTTCATGATTCTAGTGGAACATTAACATTTTCGTAATTCTAGGACTTCAAATAAATTTCACATTAGTAACAATTTATTACATAATTATTTTCGCAGTTTAAGGTTGAAGAGCTTTTGGTTGAGAATTTCCTTTTAGTTTCTTTATAATTGCCCATCTTTTTCGCGTAGACTTCTTCAGTGCCAAGTACTCAAGCAGTTAGACTTTAAATTTGTGAGGTTCGATATTATTAAAGTTTAAATTATTATATATAAATAATTAAAGCTGTTACAAAAGTTGTTGAGCATATTCCTAATAGTTTTTGAGTGTTTGGGTTGTAAATTTAATATTTTTTCTATGGCGTGGATTTAGCATCCTGGCACGGATTACAAAATGTCGTGGCGTGATTTTTGCGGATTCAATATAGGGATCTATGTACCCTGAACTTTTCGACTCAATGGATACATTACTCATTTTCTTTAATTATTAGGTACCAAGAGATCATGGCTGACTCTTGATTTAATTTGCAATCCCCACTCTAAGCATTTTCTCATTCCTGCGAATACAAAATAACAAAGTGCATTTCATTGCAAAACTGCACCATCAGCGCTGAGCAGTTTCATCGATGGCAGCAGCATACGAATCAACAACAACGTCAACGTGAACCGGTTTTTGCTAAATTAAATCAAATTAGAATTAATATCTTGCGATGTTGTGCCGTTTTTTTGTAGGATGGGACAGCGATAATTAGCTAAAGATATAAACGATTTTATGAGCAACAGCAGCAGCCGGTTTACGTAGGATATAAAACCGATTATGACGTCCTCCTGATCCATCACTGCCACAGCCAGCAGATGTAATTGCACCAGTCAGCACAGACTGCATCAGGTCGGAAAGTAAAATTTTGCAAAACCCCCGAAGCTCGTTTTATCTTAATTAAGTCGCAAATATTTTAGGAACGATTTCAAAATGTCCATGTTGCAATATATTATTGCAGTATTTTAAATGAATAAATCTAAGTTTTCAAAATGTGCTTCTCGTGAACGTTTAGACATTCTTCATAATTTTGTAAAGTGTCAATTATCAATGTTCTGCACGATTTACATCAACGTGATCTCGACTATTATCACCTCGCTGATGCTGCTACCCGATGATACTGTATCCCGGTAAATAGTGAGTAGACGGGTAGTTTTATTTTTGTATTAAGTTCGAAGATATTAGACTGTCAGTAGAGTTTATGGTAAATACGGTTGAGGGATTTAATTGCAATCTGCACTTCTTACTAGGACCTATCGATATAACCCAGGATTGAAATAGCTGAACTGTTTCAAACTTTCATGCTATCACACGTATTTGGATAGAATCCACCCAGATCGGTTGAATCTGAACCAATCAAAAAATGGGTAAACTAAGTAGGGAGAGCCAAGTTTACCGGAATTCGATCGATGTTCATTTATCAACTTGTCACTCCCAACTTAGTTTACACCTTTTTGGGAAGGTTCAGTTTTGACCGATCTGGGTGGATTCTACCCAAATTTGGGTAGTTTTCAAATATTGTGTATTTTTTACCAAAGGTCTAAATCACAAAGCATAGATTAGATCTCATAATGCTCCATTATACCAAATTTGGTTCAGTTCCAACCTGGATCGGGTATCAAGATTGAGCCAGCCTGTTTTCTGACAGGTTGAGGTTCGCACTGACAAAAAGTTCGGTTTCACACTGGATAGAAACTGGTTCCAACCCAGATAAAAAACAAATTCGTTATTATTAGGGATGTAAATCTATAAAATTTGCAGAAGCATGTAACCAACAACATAAAAAAAATGCAATCTGCCTGAAAGTAAGCTCTCTTTCTTTGATTCATGTCCATCAACTGAATGAAGTATGTGTAGCCAATTCTAGTACGTTGTCAACGGAATTGGCTGCAGCAAACAACATCAGTCATTTTTCCATGCATGGCGTATAATAAAGTCTATTGATACAAAAGTTCCTTTCTGTGAAGATTGACGGTGAAAAATGAACCCTGACATTACACCGCCAGATAACTTTACCTGCTCTGTTTGTTTTTAATTTGATATTTTAATTTGTTTCCGTTTTACTTCCACATGGACGACCGACGTACACATGACACGGAGATGATGAAAAATAATGATAGAGCATACCATAAATCATTCTGGCTATATGTGTATCTACGGGCAAAACTTTACCGCCCCTCCGTCGTAGTCGTTCCGCTCCAAAAGAATGAGAATGTTTATTAATGGAAAAATGTTTTAATTGATGCTTTTTTGTTCTATTTGCACACATCATTATGTAACAAGCTTTTCATAAAATATTTGCCACGAAAATAATCATCCCTGTCTTTTATCTTACATTCGCTCGCTTCCGCAGGGTACGGAAGGAGATTCACAGCAGCAGCAATCGTCCCAGCAACATCAGCCAATGTACTCACCACCCCCACCGCCCCAGCAGCATTCCGGCCAGCAGCAACAACAGCAAAGCAACCATCTGGTGAATCATTCACAACCATCACCCCAACACGGCCAACCGGTTCCGCAGGTGAGCCCCCACATGCCAATGCCGGGCCAAGGGGGTCAGATGCCACCGCAACCCAACAGTTATCCACCGCCGTACGCCTCACCGTACAAATCACCACAGCAGGTAGGTTTGCTTATATTTTTTTCAGTGTGCTTTCTGATTTTCAAGGATAAAATACTAAAAAATTAAAAGTTGATATTTAAGCGTGGATTACATTTACTATGAAAATCATATGTATGGATAAACAAAATGCGTCTTTTAAATTTACTATTGAATGCAATAGAATATATGTTTATGGTCATCACTTGAAGTGATTTTTTTTACGACAGTTAGGGGTAGACGGGGCTAGATGAGCACTCTGTAAGTTTACATCAAAAATCTTATATTTTTAGCAACTGCACATACGTACCTTACAACAATGATCGTAAAGTGCAACGTTCCAAAAAATATTTAGAAATATTCAATAACTATCAAGAAAATGATAAAAAATTGCATACCAAAAAAAAAAAATCTCTTTGCAATAAGTATTACCAATAGTGAAAAAATCTTTTCATGTTTCGTTTGTTACAACTTTTAATTAATTTTTCAACCTGGTGCGGGTATTTTGTTTGATGAACTAAATAATATAATTCTCAAAAACTCAAATATATAATATAAAAACAACATCTGCTATGGATGAAAGCCTTGCCCCGCAAGTGTACTCATCTTGCCATGGGTTTTTTTAAAACGGGGTATCTTTGATAATGCGTATAACTTTGATAGTACACTGGAGTCGCTTTTTACGCGGGGGATACGTGCCGCGTAAAAAAAAAACCGCGTAAAAAAAAACCGCGTAAAAAAATCTACCGAGGTTTTGAATTTTTATATGCTTAAATATTTTTTTATAAATCGGATTTTAATGCCATTCGTAATTATAGCACGCTATGGTCCATATAGACATATTTTAAAAATTTCTGTATTTACACCAAAAATTGTGATTTTTTTAAAAGTATGCCATTCGATTACCTATAGCTTGAATCGGATAATGTGATTGGAATCAAGTCGATAGGTTGTATCGTTGTCGACAAATCGTTAAAAACGTACCGCGTAAATTGCGACTCAGTGGCACTAACCGTGTAAAAAAAAACCGTGTAAAAAAAAACCGCTTAAAAAAAAGAATTCAGTGTATAATATAAAGATTAAATTTACTTGCTGTGCTTTATCCAAATTAAAAACATTGGTTCCATATTGTAGCTAAGGGTATTTCCGTTGATATCGTATATAGTTTTTAAAAAACAATTTTCGTGTTTTTCGCCTTTTTGAAAAAGCACTCAAACCATCACTTATGAAATGTATTTCCAATACAGCCATCACAAATTCAATGTTGTATTCTTATTGCTTATGAGTTTTCTGATTATATACTCATTCAAAGTTTCATATTTAAAGAACTAAAATGTTTGAGTTTCACTAATTTTTTTCTATATTCATCGAGCATTATCAAAGTAACCCCAAATCAAAATACTGAAGTTCGTTCACAAAACTAAAAAAATAGTGCAAATGCTTTAATTTTCGTTCAACATATTACTAACGAATTAATTCTTGGATCCTCAGTACTTGTTTTAAAAATATAAAATTTGAAAAACATTCATTGCTGTAAACAATATTTAGAATATTACGTTTATTTTGCTTATGCTGTACACTGAAAAATGTCTTAGATTAGTGTTGCCATGTGGTACACTGAAAAATTGCAATAGCAGGATCTTCACCAAAATTTTCGAGCCGCTCCGTCTGTCACTTCGTTTGTGGTTTTACGATGTTTTCACAGCAAAAATAAATTTTAATATTACATCCAAGAGGATGCACTTCAGTCATGTCGAACATTTCATGTAATTTTTATGGCCACAAAAATAAACAAATGCAGTAAAAGCAGCGTAATGTCAGTTCATGCACTGTATTGATGATAATTTTGTTCTTTTTGGTAAGTAATATTACACCATATTTTCGATACGATTTTGAAGTGCATCCAGTTTGATGTGCAGGGTTGTTACAACACGCGCGTATTTCGTGGATTTCGTGGATTGCGCGATTTTCGCGGATTGCGCGATTTTCGCGAATTTGTCGAAGATTTGAACTTTCACTCGCAAAAAAAGCGGAAACAAAAATTGTGAAATTCAGTGTAACGTTTTCGTCCCGGATTATTTTGCTTTCATCAATTTTTTTGTTCATTTGGCTCTCAATTTTTTACCGGCTCAATCCAAACACCCTGCAAATAATCGAGAAATGATCTCAATTCCATAAGTCACACCGGATTTACACGGAAATTTCCTGGGGTCTGTCCAATGTGAGACATTTTCGTGGTTTTTTATTTCCAATATGAAAATAACATTTTTCGGTATCAAATAATAAACGAATCGTATATATGCGAGTAATTGCCATGTATACCGGATATTCTAGGTACACAATGCTAAAATGGGTGGTAGATTACTATCATGCATCATACTGTAGGATTGGAGGTTATTGTAGACATGCACATAGTTGTTAAATATCAACATTTGATTTTACACGAATGAATTTTTTCAACGGAAATCCAAGATGAGCAGAGTTTATTTTTCACTTATGTAATTCTTGTAACTCAAAAATGTATGCCAGTTTTTACTTAAATTCAAGACTACTATGTTTGGTAAGCGTAGAATAACTTTGTTATTGCTTGCAAAGTTATTATCAAATGAACAATTCGTGACCAAAATTGTGTATGCCAAGCATGTTTGTATAAAATATTTAACGACGCCGGTGGTGTAGTGGTAAGCGTGATTACCTCTCACCCCAGCAGGCCTGGGTTCAATACCAGTCGGCGCCGCCGGGATGTTCTGAGGCATAACATCTCTGATCACGCCTTCCTTCGGATGGGAAGTAAAGCCGTTGGTCCCCGGTTCATGAGTTGATGGGTCGATAGGTAGGGTCCAGGTGTGGGAGCTGCCTTCCTGGCACGTCAGTAGCATTGGTGCTCAGCACGGAAAACAAGATCGACGGAAAAAAACAAACCAAAGGAAAAAAAAGCATGTTTGCCACCCTGCATTTCATTATTATAGAGTTTATATAATAGAAACCAAGTGAAATTTTTCCATTTCAATAAAGTTTTGACATTTTCGGAATAAGAGTATTTTTTTCCAGAAGTAGAAGAATGCTTGAATTACTCATTTGTATTCACCCTATCAATGTTACCTTTCTTTTTTTACATATTTCAAAATACTATTTTTTCTGTGTAGAAGAACACACAATGTTGTTTATCGAATCTCGGCAATTTCAACAGATTTTAACAGCCGAGAAATATTAGCGAAAGTGACAGTTTGCCTTATTTCAGAAAGTGTTTCGCTGAATCAAACCTCATTTTTACTGAGATATCAGTAAAATGTGTTGCCAAACATGCGGCTGTGCAAATCTCAGTAAAAAATGCCGAGCTGGCAAAACAAAACTAATTATGACGATATTTTCTTGAAGCATTAACAAACGATTTTTGGAAATTACTAAGACACTAGCAGGCATGTGATTTATGTGAACATACATAAGATCTTAAAGAAAAGAGGACATTAAACAGTAAAAATATCTTTGAAAAATGCTAACATAAGAAAGTTTGTATGCACTTTTCACATGTTGTTCATGAATTTTGTTCGCCCTCGCCCCACTGTGTAGTGGCTGAAATTATCTTAGAGTAAGAGTAAATAAATGTGTTTCAGGCATATGTGAACGCATAATTCCTCCTAGTAGAATCTTACCTGTCCATTTTAGAACCTATACAAAACATAAGAAAAAAAACCCCGTCTTTCACATTATGAATCATTGGCAAACGTATTCAATCATCATGGCATGGCTACCCCTAAAATTTACATCAAATACATCCAGAATCTGATACTGTGGTATAAACATAATACCGAGCTCAAAGCAAACAACACTGTGCCAGTCTATAGGTAGGCAGGCGCAGGATGAGAGAAAAATGCCGATGTTGAGAGAAAAAAAACAGAGGTAAACAAAGCATCAAAAAAAATCTCGATAAGTGACCACATGTTGCTGAAAGCTTGGCTGCACGAAGGAGACAAAAGAATAACAGAGAGAATGTGTAAAAAGTAGCACACAGGAACGCAACATAATCAGTGAGAATGAAAAATGAAACAGCCCAGGCTTACCACCCACCTCCCAAGCAGCTCTGCACCTCAGCAACGTAGCCTGCCATACCAACCAAGATACCAACACTGCCGCAACAAATCGATTTGGCTTAGCCTGAAATTGAATCTTGAATTTCTTTCCCCTTTTATATTTTTGTAAAGATTTTATTTCTTTCTCATTTCATTATTTTTATCCATCATTATTCTGAGTAACGATCCGCGGCCTCGCGCATGGTATTGTCACATACACATTTGCACACAACGCCATGACTTTATGTTTTTGTTAATATACCTTCATGTCGTGATAGACGTTAGATGTTGTATGTTCGTATGCGTTGTTGTTCTGAGGGGGCTTTGAACAAAACAATAAAAACAAAAATGTGCTCAAGTATTTTTTGAATGTTTTAAAAGTAATCTACAGATAAAAATTGTAACTACAACAATTTTTAATTTGACATTTTTAAATTAAGGGTTGTAGCTTCCAGATGAAAATGTGCCATTGCCAGACCCCTCGTTGATTGCTTTGATGGTATGGGGAACACACTTCAATGCATACGCTATGTGCATAATCTCCCACTATTTATCTCGATCTAAATATATACCCGTGTTCCATAAACACACTACTGCAGGAGATAGGTACACACAACACTTCCCTCTCGTTCGAATGTAGTAGTGATGGCGGATTCTCTTCGTTCAATCGCGCCCGAATGGCCGACACAAAGCTCAGCATAAATCGAACGAGGTAGTAGTGTGAAAGCAGCTGGCATTTCATTGACAGTACAGTCGGTTTCTGATTCGCCGGTATCAAAAATAATCATCCCAAGTGCGTTGAAGCCATCAGCCGAACATATTCAGCGTGGTTAGGTTTTTGTTTGCTCGGAATATCATTCTGACACAACCCAAAACAATCTCTGGTGACATCACAAAGGAAACCAAAACATTAGCATTATTGCGTAGCAGCTTCAAGGGCTATTTAGATCGTTTGAGAGTGAACTAAAAAGGTTCTTTTAAAACGACATTGAATCGTAGTTGGTGAGTAGACGATAGAATTTAAACGAGGAAGTGCTGTCATTTCAGCTGAGTGTGAGTTTCAGTGCACCTAAAGGCAAATCTCGATGAGCATGTTAAAGGGGTTTAAGCCAAATGTAAACATTGACAACATATTTACAGGGCTGCCAAGTGTTTTAGAAAAAGTCTCGAGATCGAAAAAAAAAAATCTTCACTGCTTCTTTTCAAATAGTTGAGCTGGGGGAGGGGCGGTAGGGCTTTCAATATATATATACATACATTCATACATGTAAATACGTCCTACATACATATTGTATATACATTTTGTTTAAATTGATGTCATTATCCATAGTCTTAAAATCAAGAATTCGGGGAGAATACTAGCCTTTAAAAGAGTAACTGAATAAATTTTCAGAATTTTGGAAGTTTCGGAACATCAATAATCTTTGAGAAGTACGGAAGTGGCCTTCTTGACTGCGTCGGATTGAAAGTACATGGTCTTGGTCTAGGTAATTAAGTAATTAAAAATGACAAATTAGTATTTAACGTAATAAAAATTAAATTCGTATAATTAATTGAAAGCCGTTGTAATTATTGTAATTAAAATACGCGTTCCCATAATTATTTTTAATTTAATGACGTGTAAAAACATCCAGTTCCTTGTTAAGGAACCATTCAAAAATCTTTCTTGATGAAAACCCACAAAACATGAACATATTTGAATGAATCAATGTATTCATTATGAATTATGAGGAGAGTTCGATAAGTTCTGAGGATAATTCGTCAATAAGTATAAGGTGTATATCAAAGGAATTCTGAAGAGATTTCCAATGGCATTCTGTGGAGTATTTCAATGCAATTCCTATGAAAATTTCATGGAAACTCAAAGTGAAATTTAATAAAAATACTGAAGTATATTTTAAGGAATTCGATAGATGTTTTGGGGGAATACTAAAAACATGCTGAGGAGAATTTCAAGGTAGTTCTGCTAGAACCAAACTGTATATGAGAAATCAGCTCAGCAAGACGAAATTTGAAGATGCGGGAATGTGCGTCTGTGCACGCGTACTTATCTAGGAAAGCTTTCTCTGAGATGGCTTATCCGATCAATATGGTTGATATCTCATATGGCATATTACGTCTGTTTGTACTTTTTTTTTTTTGATCGTTCAGTTTGTACGTATTCTTGAAGAGGAAATCATACTAATACAGTGCAATGCCTAAATATCATCCTTATTCGCATAATCGCTATCGGAACTGGTACAAACATGACCAAAGTCAACGGCGCCGGTGGTGTAGTGGTAAGCGTGATTACCTCTCACCCCAGCAGGCCTGGGTTCAATCCCAGTCGGCGCCGCCGGGATGTTCTGAGGCATAACATCTCTGATCACGCCTTCCTTCGGATGGGAAGTAAAGCCGTTGGTCCCCGGTTCATGAGTTAATGGGTCGATAGGTAGGGTCCAGGTGTGGGAGCTGCCTTCCTGGCACGTCGGTAGCATTGGTGCTCAGCACGGAAAACAAGATCGACGGAAAAAACAAACCAAAGGAAAAAAAAAAAAAAAACGGCCAAAGCGTGCTGGTGCATGTGCAAATATTATGAAATCCACAATCATATACGATTTAAATAAGTCGTATAGGATGCACATATTAGCTAGAGGCCTACCAAAGTGGAGACCATTTGCAATTCTGATTTATGACATGGCCTCTGAATTTGACTAGCAATAGGTGTTAAGTTGGGTTGTGAAGGAACTGAAACCGAGACATAAAAAACAAGCATAAGCGTCTAATTTTGTTTCTAGATAATATTAAAAACGATTAAGATGGATTTCTTAGATAATTTTAAAGAAATTCTTTAACAAATCCAAAAGAAATTATGTAAAGAGTTCCAAGATAAATCTCACTAGGAAAAAGAATACAAGATTCTGAGACTTCGGATAACTTTTCACTTTAAGAGTCGAAGTCTCCCAAATAGAATCAAAAATAATACCTTTGGCTTAAATATTTTTATGAATATTCCGAAGATGTACGATTAACAGAAATATTCAAAAATGCTGTAATTTTTAACATTGGTAATTTAAAATAAATCAAATGTCTGAGACTTCTTAGCATTTTAGAATTCACGAGTTTTTTTTGTAGATGTTGAAATCAAACATATTTTCAAAACTCTAGGGCACTGGAATTTTTTAAGATCGTTTTGTATACACATTGAAAATTGCAAGATTTGGAATGATTTTTCTTAGTTAACTCACAGACAAACAGGCGTAACACTTCATTGTGTATCTTCGTTCACGCATTTAACGGTTGATTTGAATATTATCAGTTCCGCGAACTACTCGCCGCAGCGCTAGCATCGGATCACTTTGACGTTTCTATACATTCTATAGAACTTTTATGCAATATTGTTTTAGAGAGCAAGCTTGTTTTCCGCGAAAAGCCCGAGAGGTGTCGTTACTGAGGTCCTATGTTTTGAGATACTATGTTTTCAAGACAAACTTTTTCAAAGAGCTACGTCTGTTCGTCTGTGGTTAATTTATCTTCCTTTGAAATATGATCACTTCATTAGAAATTCCCTCCCCTCCTCTATTATGATGATGTAGAGATGAACTAGCCAGCGACTAAAAATCTCTAATAAAGCTTAAAAAAATATGAATTCTGGTTACGTCCTTGTTAATAATTATTACAGACAAACAGACATAACACATTGAATATTTCTCACTGTAAAACATCGTCGCTAAGACATTACCGCCATCTGTTGAGTACACTGTGGTGGGCACTACACTGAACAGATGGCGGTAGTGTGTAAACGTCAAACGCAAGGGAATTGACTATGCGCGCCACAGGTGGCGGTACTACCAACTACGATACTTTTAAATTGTCCGTTAAATGCTTGTTCGATGAACAACTTGCGAGTGTTATGTCTGCTTGTCTGTGTAATTACCATTTTCAAGAATCTGCTTATAATCACAGAGAACAGACATGGACATTATTTTACACAAGTTTCTGACCGAACTTGAACGTCTGTTCTCTGTGTTATTTTAGTCCAAATTTTCACTTGCGTGCTACAAAATCGACTTTAATTTCCAAACTTTTTCATATGTCTTCAAAGTTCACACATTAAATGTCTTCAAAATGAAGACATGTCTTCAAATCTGACCAAAATTTGAGGTAAATTGTGTGGTCACGTCTTCCTTCGGAAGGGAAGTAAAGCCGTTGGTCCCGGCCCATGTGTGTTGAATGGGTATGATATCCTACGCAGGTGTAGAAGCTACCTTCCTGCATATTCAATTGTCGTCAATGAATGGCAATCGATGTCCGTCGGTGATTGACACTAGATTTTGTAAGAGACCGACGTTAAATAAAAGAAATAAGAAGAAAAATTAAATTGAGTGGGTTTTAGCACACCATATCTGGATAAACAATAGAAAACAAAGCGTTTCAAAGCCCTTTCCTCACAAAGCGATGGCCATCCACGCAAACCAAGCCCATCATCGGATAGGAGAAACTTTCCCCTAAACGATGATGGTGTTGGTTTGTGAGGGCAGCCTTCAATTTGTGAGGAAAGGGCTTTGGAACGGTTTGTTTACAAATGTTGATGGACCCTTTTCTATTGTTGATCCAGATATCCGATGATCTTTATAGATACGTAGCTCGGTTAATTTAAAAATAGTTTCAGTTACATGTATTACGATGTAACGGAACTGACTTGTTTTTCCGCTGATTTCTCGTAAACGACCATCTAACCGCGTAGAGAGTCCTATTCTGCGAGTGAGATGAGGTAACTCATCTCTTATGCTACATTTTAAATTATCGATCTAGAAGAACGTATGCCAACTATCCACCCCATGATACACGTGTTGTAAATTGAAACTACTATCAATAAGCTGAAATTTCGCAACTAAATATGGTGTCTGCAATCAAATATTCTATTATCTGCTTGATAGTGCATATATTTATGTTTATGTTTGTTAATAAGATAAGCAACAGAAATGATAACTCATTCACATAAGGGATCCGGCTTAATTTAATTTGAAAGTTTCGAATTTCGCTCTACAATCATTCCATGTTTCGAGATCGTTATTTCGTACCATATAATGGGCTAACATATTTATCAGTTAAATTGATAATATCAATCAAGCGAACCATTTATGTATGAAACGTAACGTTCACTCGTAACTAAATCCGTTTCTTGTCCTGTTTCTCCCATTCCTGACAGACCATGATGCAAATGCAACCGCATCTTCAACATCACAGTCAACCACCGATGCACCCGGGCCAAGCTCAACCTCAGCCGCCACCCCACCACATGCAGATGAACCCTATGACCGCCCAGCAGCAGCAGCAAATGATGGTCCAGCAACAGCAGATGGGAATGCCACCGCAACAGCAACAACAACAAATGCAGCAAAACCACCTTACCAATGCAAACATGAACGGAATGATGAATATGGGCATGACACCACCGCAATCGCACTACATGAATCAACAGGTAAGTCAAATGCTAGTTTCTCCTCCTTTTCCTAGAGAGAATCCATTTCCACGGGTCAAATTTGTAGAAAGGCGGCGTTGTAACAGTCTAATATCCTCGAGATTTTTTTAATTAGTTAAATCTTTATTTTCGATCAAATTGAGCGACAATAATGCGTTTTCTGAAAACACCAAGATTATACTGGCCTCAGTATATTTGTTTAGTTGCCTTATCCAAACTTATTCTAAAGTTCAGTACAAAGTACTAACAAACTAACTCTCGAGAAGCAAAAGAAAAGCGCAGACATTGTGAGGCACGTTATAGCGAGTGTCGTGCAACTGCCTTATGTACATACACGAACAGCTTCGAAATAAATTTAAAGCGTGAACCGAAAAGTTTCTGGTCGTCAAAAACCGTAAAAGTGGATAACGTATTCCAGAGAATGTATCGTAGATTCGACTGGCAATACTTCCAAAGCATTTGTCAACTTATGCGCCGATTTCTTTCGCAGCGTGCGTAATGACGATTCTCCCACCATTTCCACAACGGAGCTAAGCAACATTCCATCACTAAACGTAAGTTTGCCACTGTCACGCAAAACAACGTTTTTTTTTTCAGCCTTGATGAAGCTCGAAGTTTCCAAAAGCGCCGGCACAGATCTAAATTTCGTGAAAGAATGTGCTGAATCTTAAAAAAAATCCTGTCAGGCTTATCTTCAATCGATCGAACGTTCGTTCCCAGAAGTGTCGGCTGGATGGAATGCTGTACTAATATCAACATGAAGTTTTAGTGCGATAATTTATTAGCTACAGAAAGTTCTGAAGAGGAAAGGTTGATAGTTCCGCTAGAGTACGACAGTGTGAAAATTTATTAGAAGTTTAAATTGAGCGAAGGGCCATTAATGCGGCAGTACTAGTCAAGCGCACACTCCGGTACCTAGCTCATCCATCAAATCCACAGGTAAAAGAGTTCGCGTTTGTCTTGCTCATATACTGTCTGCTGCTGTGGAAAATAGTTCTAGCGACGTTTATTACTACCTAAGGCCCCACAGTACCGCAGGGCATTATTCTCGGCTCTCATTTTCATTTTGCTAATAAATGACCTCATCGCACGTCTGAATTCCGGGAAATTATTGTACGCTGCCGATTTGAAAATTTACAAGACAATTTCCTCGACTGGTGCGCTTTGCAAGCCGATATAGATGAGCTGACCAGCTGGTGCTCAACTTATGGTATGCAGCTGAACTTCACTAAATGTAAATCGATTATTTTCTACACAACCCCTATAGGGTTATACAAGGCTCCTTTATGCAGAATTCTGCACATGAAACCGTCGTACTGCGCTTCGATGAGGTTGACGATTTTATCTGGGACTTCCTGGATTCTCGTGATTGAGTCGGTCGAGAGCTTTTTTGTAGTCAATCAATTCCAAATATAGGGACTCTTAGAATTCGTTGACTTGCTCCAGGTTTATACGGAGCGTGACAATATGATCCACACATAAGCTTCCTGCTGCCGCCGGTGAGTAGTGTCGATCTTCTTCTGTATCCGATTGAGGATAACCTTGCACAGAACTTTGAGAACAATACACAGTAGCATTATGCCTCGCCAATTGTCGCGCACACTCAGATGCCCTTTCTTAGGGACCTTCACTAAGACGCTCCTGTCGGCCGGAAAAGTAGTGGTGTTTCAGATATTACAGAATAGTTTATGCAACAATTGTGCGGACATCATGGGGTCAGCTTTGAGCATCTTTGCTGATTTCCCTTATAAAAATAACTATAAAAAGGAGTTTAACGTGTTCGGGGTATCATCCAAAGAATTTGTGGTATAGTTTACGCATCCGTGCTATCGTTCGTTAATAGTTTTTGATTATTATGGTTGCGATCGCCTCCGAGAGCCTTGTTGGATTTCATGCTTCGAATAGCTGCTTCTATATCCTGCAGTGATGGAGCCTCGGAATTGACGCGAGTGATATGCTGCACCCTTCGCGGATTATGCCGAGATGTTGATGGCTGGTTGACCGTCGAATAAGTTGTTCGATGTCCTCAAACCAACGTTTCAGCTGGTCAGTGAAGTCGGTAAGCAACTTTCCAGTCGCGTCTTTTAATGGCATCTTTGGGTTCATGCTTGCTCCACTCAGGTGTCGTGAGATATCGTAGAGGAAAAGATTTCGCCAGTTGTTGAGGCTTTCTCGCCTTCGTTGACCAGGGACGAGCATGTGTAGCCTATTTACTTGCTTCTCTAGAGCCGAGTACCATTGGCGGGCTTCGTTCTTGACTGCTTTAGTTCTCAGTCTTCCATCCATGATCCACTCTTGTCTCCGAGTGTCCAACTCACCCATATTATTCTTACACGTCTCGATAAAGACATTCTTGATGGCCGTTCCCTGCTCTTCTACGCTGCTGGGTCTCAATTTCTTCAACGAAAGATCATTTCACTGGTAGAGTTGTATTGCCTAGTCAGCATTTTCGGCTGAGGCATGTGATCGATATAATTTTCGGTATGTCCGTCATGGGAGACCCACGGTACTTTTTGCGCTGAGTACTTAGTAGGAGACCGGGGAGTGCTTTTACTGGAATACGAAAATATAACAGTACATGTCAAGACGGTAATGTTCGAGCAACGGACTTCATTTAGTCCCAGGATTCCTAACTTCCTTGCGCCTCGCTGGAGAGTTGGGCCAGCTTACCTGGTTAATACAATTCTTGTCCGTTGTGTTGCGCTAAAATTCGTTTCCCTAAAATCAGTTCGTAATCTTGTTCTGTTGGTTTCTATAACAATTGATGGATTCGGAGACACTAGATGGCTAGCCTAATGTCTTCTTGATGGTGCTGCCATCATAGGTGTAGTTTCCGGAGGGAAAAAAACAGTTTTTATTCAGTCGCTGAACGCCAGTAAGACAATGCATGAGTCGCACCTCTATGGTGGACATAGGTTCAGTGAGGTGGGTTTAGATACCAACTCGAAGACGGATATTCTAGTATTCCGAAGAAACTTAAAAACCTATTTTTTTGTTGACCACCCGTTAACCACAACCGAAGACAACATATCAAGAAGACTGGCAACTCTGCCATTTTCTCATACGACCGCTATGAGACCGGCAAAATCGCGTCATCTACCGCGAAAAGGTAAATGCTTCGAACGAATTGGATAGCAAAGATTACAACCTCAAAAGAATGGTTTGTATATTTGCTCATTTCTCTATGCGTTACTTCCACCTTCACTCGAGCGCAGCGGTACTGTATCTGTCGCTTGGATTCTGGCAGAGTTGCCAGTCTTCTTGATTTGATGTCTTCGCCACAACTTACGAATCGTTTGTTAGCGAGCCACAAAGCTCCGTTGAACCCTCACTTACTTCAAGCGTAACCTTCATCGGCATAATTTCTACGAGTTTAGTAAAGTTTGTATGAATCAAGATAGTTCAATTATATCTTGATTTCGTTAAATCATCAATATATTTCTATTAAAATACTTGTTTTCTTTAAAAAAAAAATTAGTGATCATGCATATGGATGTAAACGGTATGTTCATATATCTGTAAGACACGCGATAATGGGCTTTCTAAACCTTCTACAAATTTCTCTTGAATTCATAGTCCTGTGTTCTATTAAATCACAAAATCATCACGCTTTGACGATACAAATACGAATAATAAATTAGTATTCTTCGCACCTGACAGATGTCGCACAGTCAGCAACAAGGACAACAGCACCCGCAGGCTCCTGGCCACCAGATGCAGCAGCAGCAACAGCAACCGGGTGGACACATGAGCCCCCACCAGGTTGCTCCACCACTGTCCGGCAGCCCGCCGCAGCAGAACGCAACTCCCCAGCAATGTATCCGTCACGGTTGTCAGAACCCGGCGATCGTCAATTCCGACTGGGAGGATGAGTACTGCAGTAACGAATGCGTCATTACACACTGCCGGTAAGTTTTATTTAGTTTAGTATTTAAGCAGGAACAGACAGCTAATCCTTTAATGTCCGCTTGCAGGGACGTCTTCGGCAACTGGGTTCAAACCAACAATCCGCAACAGCAAACATACTCGGCTGTTAAGTAAGGAGTTGGCCAATGAGCCTTTGATGCAGCCCAGGAAGGCAAACAAAAAAAAAGCGAAAGGGTGCAATCGCAAGAGGCTCCCGTTCAAAGCGTAACTATACATAACTATAATCGATTCGTAATTAATTGTTATTACTAAAACAAAATTACACACTTTTTACAATGATACAACTTTTAAACTAAGACATAACACACTATAGCTAATAAGACGTAAACAATAAATGAAAACATTATAAAACAAAATATTAATGAATTGAATTCAGCAAAACTAGTAATCTAATGATTAGACATAAAACTAATACGACAGAAAAGACAGCCAAAAGTTGCAATTACTTTTAGTGAAACATTCAAACAGAAGCAAAAGAAAACAAAACTTGTTAAGCAATTTCTATCGTACATCAATCGTTCCCCTTCGTTTTGTTTCATAAGCCTATAAATATTTGTGTAAATACTTTCAAACTTATTTCTTCCCATGAGAAGCAAATGCAAACGGAGAGTAAATGCAGAAACATACCGCGAGGCTGTATATTGTTATTCCTCTTCTTAATTTATCTTGATGATGTTGTTTTCAATTAGTTTGTAAAGTGAGATGAACGATCACAATATAGGCAAATAATAAATAAGATAAGTAGTTGTCGTTACTGAAAACCAACAAATAAATTACTTTGTAGTATAGAACAAAAAACACAAACACATCCACATTCAAGCAAAGCAAGAAACACATACTAAAATAATGGAAAAGAAGCGAACAACTCATATTAGGCTAAATTTGAGTGTAAAAAATAGCAAGTTCCGAAGCGTATTATAAAAGAAGGAAGCAATTGTCAGTCGGAAGCGGATCGAATGCTGGAAGCATTCGGTGCTAAATGGTTGAAAGTTGAATATCTACCAACTCTCAGAACTTCAGTGCAAGCCATCCTCATTACCATCGTTCATTGCTAAAATCATTACATGAAAACTCTAAAATAAAACACCCTCTTTTCGAGAGAAGAAAATGCATAAAAACCAATAGAAAAATCTCATTTGTTGGGTAAAGAGTCCCAGTCTGATTGTCTGACTCCAGCAACAAACAGTGGCAAAAATAATGACGAGTGGCTCTTGCAAGAAGAAGGAAACCAACATGCATACTAATAAAAAAAATACTATTTTGTAGAAAGTTAATCGAGTGTTTGTCTATTTCATTGTCTATCACATTTTCCTATCATTCAAAAGTACTTTAAAGGTGACATCCACGGACACAACCGGCTTGGCTCATTGGCGCTGGTAATAAATCAGATCACTTGAATTATTGTTAGAACCACTCAACATGGATTCCACATTTTAGTGAAATATCTGCTGCTGCTCAACTTGTAACTCTACTAGCTTCAAGGTAGAAAGTCAAGTTTTTTTTCGGTTGGGACTTGCTCCTCCAGCTCAGGCAATTGAATTTATTTCAAAAGTTGCCCATTGCTCCCGCTTGTTGTGAGGGAGTTTTCGTTACAACCCTGATTTATAGTCCACCACCTGCGGAAAACCAGTAAAACAAGTCAGAATATACATATTTCGGTATAATTTTTGTACAGAGAACAGACCTCCAAGTTCGGTTAAAAACTTTTGTAAAGTTAAGTGGAAACGTCGCCGTTACGTGGCGCTAGCATCTCTTGATTTCCTCTATAAATTTATCACTTTCGACCAATTTGGCTAGTATCGATGGCTGACAAAGACAGCGTAATCAGAGAAAACTGGGTTCAATCACAGAGACCACAGAGAACAGACGTTGAAACTCGGTCAGAAACTTGTGTAAAATAAGTGGGAACGTCGCCGTTACGTCATAGAGAACAGACATGGAGGCTCGAACAAAATTTCTCTAAAAACTTGTGTAAAGATTCCTATTCGACTTAAGCGCCACTAACGGCGACTTCCCCACTTAAAAACCCTCTTTGACAACATGATGGCGCTGGCGTTGCACAAATTACACTAGGCACTAAATGCTAGTAGCGCCAAGTGGCAATTTTCAACAGAAAATTTATCGATATTTAGCGCCAAATTGGTCGAAAGTGGAAAATTTAGAGAGAAAATCAGGAGATGCTAACACCACGTAACGGCGACGTTCCCACTTATTTTACACAAGTTTCTGACCGAGCTTCAACGTCTGTTCTCTGTGGTTACGTTAAATTGGTCGAAAGTCCACACAAGTTTATGGTGGAAGTTGGACGTCTGTTCTCTGTGATAATAAGAAGCATAACGCTATACTGCCCATAATCGCATATCAGTCCCATATGGATAGGAAATCAAGCAAAGATGGGACTGATATGCGATTATGGGTAGTATAGCACAGAGAACAGACGTTCAAGTTCGGTCAGAAACTTGTGTAAAATAAGTGGGAACGTCGCCGTTACGTGGTGTTAGCATCTCCTGATTTTCTCTATAAATTTTCCACTTTCGACCAATTTGGCACTAGTATCGATAAATTTTCTGTTAAAAATTGCCACTTGGCGCTACTAGCACTTAGTGTCTAGTGTAATTTGTGCAACACCAGCGCCATCATGTTGTCAAAGAGGGTTTTTAAGTGGGAAAGTCACCGTTAGTGGCGCTTAAGTTGAATAGGAATCTTTACACAAGTTTTTAGAGAAATTTTGTTCGAGCCTCCATGTCTGTTCTCTGTGTCTAGATGCTCAAAAACTTGATCTACAGTTGGAAAATTTAACTCTGTATCGTTTTTGCAAGAATCCTGCTGGTGTTGACAAAAATGGAAAATAAGAATAATGGTTATGATTTTCCGGATTTCTTGTGTGTGAATAATTGAGGCACAAATCTGAACAAATTAAAGCATTTTTCATTGAACATCTTGCAAATTTCCCCCGGTAATTAATTATATGATTTGAGTAGTAGCTATACTGAAGATCCGAAAGATGTCGCCCCTTCAGTGGTAGGAAAATCATTTTTGCAGTATGGAGAATATCAGAAAATCCACGATTTGTGACTAAACATGCTTTCACAGAGGGAAACAAATAAACGAGTGTTTACCTTATCACCATAGTAATGTACTCGTGCAATTTTTGTGCATCTAAAACTGCCCATAAAGGCGATAATGAATAAAAACTGAAAATTTTCATGCATTTCCAAATGGTTTCCTACCATTCCCATACATTCGAAAGTGACTGGCCCTCTGGATGTGGATGATGTCAAAAACAACAAAACATGATTAATTGATGAATCTACGCGAAACTTCCATACGATTTGACAGGTAGCAAAACGTCATTATCATTTTCACATCATTTCCATCTGCCGGTCGACCGTAACGTAAATTCATCAATTCGACAGTGAGCATGCATAAGGGCCTATACGCGATGATCGATTCTCTTCGTCGATTTTCTCTTTTGTTAATAACTCGTTAGATTTAACGTTTCTCGGTGCGTTTGCTGTTGCTTTTGATAGCCAATACATACTACCTTTTACTACTCTGCATTGAACAAATTCTAGAAAATTGTTTCGCTTAGCTGTAGCAATGCAAAGAGAAAATCGATGAAGAGAATCGATCATCGCGTATAGGCCCTTATGCATGCTCACTGTCGAATTGTTCTATTTTCCACAGTTCTGAACTGAACTGTGGAGAATAAAACAATTACCGGGGGAAATCTTGCAAATTTCCCCCGGTAATTGTTCAATGAAAAATGCTTTAATTTGCATTGCCGATAATACTTATTCCGATGTAAACAACCGGCAAGACAAACGGTTTGGTTGTCGTTTCCTCTCGAACTCGCCTGGTGCATTGAAAAAGCTTTTTAATTTCTCCATACATCTTGAATACATACATCCACCAGCCCATACGATCGAAGGCTGCTCGCCCTTTAGTGGTTAGTGCACTGAAAAAAGTTTTCATTTAGGAACGCACATAGGGTAAATGTTGGCTTCGGCACCCATTGACTGTTTTCGGCAACCAAAATATAAACGTTAATTTCACTATGTTTTCCCATCAACGCACTTCCCTGAATGTGTCCAAACGATTGTTTAGCCTTTCAGCTTCAATCTGATTATATTTGAACGATCGAGCAATTCAGTAATGCTACATTTTTCTTCAAATAAAGCATACGCACTACAAAATTAGGTTGATTTCGAATTGCCGGTAATAGAACAGCTGGTTAACACGCAGTTCTAATGGGAAGGTTGCCGAAGAAAAAGAGACTGCCGACAATAGTCACACTCACCTGAGAAGTTTGGAGCGTTGTAAAAACGCTTTCAAAACGTTTTGAAAAATTCTGTCGATTGGAATGGATAGAGAAGCAAGCAGCAGATGAATGTAAACAAACAGTGACGCTGAGAAAATGCTAGTAGAAGTGCAGACGCTGCTTAGATTGTCGAGAATACGTAAATTCCCCTAGAATTTTTCCAAAAACAAAAACAATGATTTTTAGCTGAATATCACCTAGCATTAGAAATTCTATATGAGAAATTATATAGATTTCATTGGACACATAACGTTCATGTGATTTAGTGGTGCAATTTCCAATTATGGGATTACATGAAAGTTATGTGAAATTCACAGGAATATTTTCCACTGGTTATGTGATTTATTTTATGAGTGTGCTTTAAGAAGTAGTATGGGGCCTGTTTATAAACTACGTAGACAGTTTTTTTTGGGATTCTTGACCCCCCTCCCCTGTCCATACAAAATTTTTAAAATCGGTATGGGCCGTGGATAATTGTCAATCCCCCCCCCCCCCTAAACTGTCTACGTAGTTTATGGACAGCCCCTATGAATCACCTAGTTCAAATTTATAATATGAATTCATTTAACATTTAAAATTATTTCGACAGTGAGCATTCATAAGGGCGTATACGCGATGATCGATTCTCTTCATCGATTTTCTTAATAACTCGCTAGATTTAACGTTTGTCGGTGCGTTTGTTGTTGCTTTTGAAAGCCAATACAATCTATTACAACTCTACATTGAACAAATTCTACAGAATTGTTTCGCTTAGCTGTAGCAATGCAAAGAGAAAAACGATGAAGAGAATCGATCATCGCGTATACGCCCTTATGCATGCTCACTGTCGATTTGTTATGAGATTTAATTTAGTGTATTTCCAAATACCGCCAATGAGAAGAATGTGGATGAAAAGTTTCATTTACCGTGCATCTATCGGTGAGAGCTAAAATTCCATTCCAAATTTATTGTATATCAGGTAGCGCTAGTATGTTCACTAGTGCTCTCTGGTGGCGTTTTAGATTAAACGAAACGAATTGTTCAATCTAAAATGCCACCAGAGAGCACAACTAGCGGACACTGATGGCTACTAGCGCTACCTGATATACAATTGTAAGATCAACTTGAAATTTTCACTTAAAATTCCTAAAATGTACACGGCCAATGAGATCAACCCAAAACTAAGTTCAGTTTACTCATATTCGCAAAAGTGCAGGAGCTCATTGTTGAGTAAATTTGCCTCATGTTTTTCTGTGGAAAACCTCAAAAATCTACCAGAAAATGAGGAAAATTTACGAAATATTTGATTAATGTAGGAGTAGACTGAGACAATCCAAAATTTACTTTTCTCATATTCGGGAATTTTTTCGTGGAAAAAGCTGGAAAAATATTAGGCAAATTTCCTCATCACTCAGTTCCTGCACATTATTCCAGTTATGAGTAAACTGAACAATTGGGTTGATCTCATTGGATCTCAAAACCGACGAGAATTTTACTCAGTCTAGGCAGGCAAATGAATCTAACTCATATTTGAGTACCGTTCACTCAAATTCGTAAAAACGTAGATCATTTTTATTCAAATATGTTAATGTCACAAAAACATGAGTGATATTACTCATATTTGAGTGAGCATTTATTCAATATAGCGGCGCCGGTGGTGGTAGTGGTAAGTGTGATTGCCTTTCACCACAAAAGGCTTTAGCTCAATTGATGAATCTACGTTACGGTCGACCAGCAGATGGAAATGATGAGAAAATGAAAATGACGTTTTGCTACCTGTCAAATCGTATGTAATATTTTTTAGTACATCATCACTTTTCCGGTTTTGGATTTCAAACCTAGGTGTCACATGCACTGGTGCAGTTTCGCGTAGATACATCAATTCCAGTCGGCGCCAACGGGATTTTCTGAGGCATAAAATCTCTGATCACGTCTTCCTTCGGAAGGGAAGTAAAGCCATTGGTTCCCTTTCAT